ATAGCCGACAATTCTTCTTGGTAAGAAAAGGACAGTTCGGCTGTAGCTTGTCCTAGAACAATAATAAAGTAAATGGGAAAATCTTATCTGTTGGAATTGGATACATGATCTACATACTTTATGGGTTCAGTACATAACCAGGAGGCATCGATATTTTATCTGTGTCCAAGCAATATGCACCTTCTCGGTTTATTACGGAGTCCAAGAATTTTATTTCGGAGTTCAAATATAGTTTTCGCTTGTTATTAGAAGTCAGAAGCAAATAGCTAATCCTTTTATATTAATCAAATAAAAATGGAGTATTGTTGGACTTAATTCACAGAACTTTCAGAAGATTCGGTAAATATGAGTATAAGACGCACTGCACCAAAAGAAAAATAGTAGTGTGATTAAAAAGTTAGGTGAGTAGTGCACCACATTACAATAATCACGTAGTGTGGTGTATTAGAAATTCTTCCGCCGGGCCAAATTGTCTATAAAGAATATTATTAGAGCCTTTTGTGTCGTTTGCATCCAGCTAGTCTGAATAGCCGAAATTATATGTAAATAACTATTGGTTCCTTCAACACAATAATGCATCATGAAATACTGCATTGTTTCTTCGCAACTTTTATTAAAAAAAAATCGACTCATTTCATTCCGCAACCACTGTATTCGTCTCATTTGGCTCCGAGCAACTTCTAACTCTGCAACAAATTCAAAAGGCCAATGCGGGGACGCCATTTTAACACGGTTGTGGTAAAAACCGAATAGAAGAAGGTCTTGAAGGCTATACTAAAAAAATATTATTCCGACTGTTTCGAGGATTGGAAACAGCGTTGGACAAGTGTGTTTTACTGGAAAGGGATGAAATTGATTTGGCAAAATAAATAAAGAATTAACATTCTATACACAAATACACTTAAGTTTTTGAACACAATAGTATATATTTTCCTTCAAATATTTGATTTATGAAATTTTCTTCGAATGAATAAATACATAACTCAAGTAGAGAATCCTTTTCTCTCTTTCTTCCCCTTTAAATTAAGAAGTAGAAAGCTAACGATTTAATGTACCTATTAAGCAGATGCTTACGCTGAGCCAGTAGCTCGGTTAACTTCTTTTGGATTATGGAGAGGAGGAGTGTTCAGATCAGAAAACTTTAACTCTCAAATAACATTATGAGTGTCTATTAAGTATTGTAACATAACTACCTATAAAAAATCTGTCGTTATATTTATAGGAAAAAAATTTTTGATTGGAAGAATTTTATGGAAACAATTAAACGAGAGATATAGCTTCATCAAATAATAGGCAGCAGTTTTCATTTATGTGCGCGGAAGAAAATTTACAGCCTCTATTACTCTATTCTTATTTTCGCAGAGACTTTATTTTTACACTTGAAAGCACTGAAGAAACTGACGATGTGTTAAGACAACTAAAGTTAGCCAACTTCACTATCTGAAGCTTGACAAATTATAAAAAGCTAACTCATAACTTTATTGCATAACTAGAAATGAAAGCAGTCATAAAGTCAATCAATGTGCATAATTTTCCCAGTGTGGACAATTTAAGTAATATGAACATTAAAAATAAACTAAAAAGTATCCACACTCGTCATCTGCATTTCACTTCAGATGTTTATAGTTTCATCACCCGGCAGTTGCAGATTTTACCAGCAAATTGCAAGCAATATACTTTATAACGATCATAAATGGCTGCAACGGATGTGGGTTGCCATAGCCATGTGAATTTGTCGAATGCACGAGACAAAAGTTTCGTTTATATGTGCAGAAGCGCACAGAAATATGCAAACTCTTTTATATACCAAAACAAATAACAGCAACGATATTTTTTGCTTAAAAAAATTCAAACTGTGAAAAGTTTATAAGAGGCACACTTATGCCGCACCCACTCCACATATATACGCGCGCTTTGGCAGCAGCATAGTCACCACAGTGCGCTTTTATTTAAATGGCGTGCTTTAGAGAGCGCGGGGTGGCCAACAAATAATCGGCAACTCAAAGTTGGTCCATGCGGCACTTGAGCGTGCGCACGCTCCAACGTCTTGTCTCGGCGTGTCCAAGTGTCGAAGTGGCTGTCTGCCAGACTCGTCTCTGTATGTTTCATCTACAGCTCGGCCCGCGCAGCTGCCTGCAGCCAATAATGATGCAAATTTTCGCAAGAAATCGCATAAAGTGCAAACAAAAGATTGAAATAAAATCAGGAAATAACGAAAAACAAAAAATTAAAAAAAAAAGTTGGAAAACTTAGTATCTGCCACTTGACACTACTTCGTTAGTTGCGCCTTCACTTAGCGACTGGCGACTGGCGGCTGGTGTCTCAGTCTTTACTGCCCCTTTCACTTTTTCTGCCTAGTCGGCTGTGTTGCATACTAACTGCAAAGCAACTCTATGGTAACTGCATACTCAAAACTGTTTGGCAAACTTTTGTTGCTCGTTTTTGTTGTCGTAAAATAATAACAAATTTTATTTTAATTTCACTCTTGTTTTTCGCTTGAAAGTGCTTTTAACGCTTTATTTACTGTCTCGCTTATTGTTTCTTAACTTGTTGTCTTTTTGTTATGGTGTTTTATATGAGCTTTTTTTATATAATTTTCTGTCGCATTTAGTGAAATTCTCTGTTTACTTTTGGCAACTACAGTCGCACACAAAAGTAGCTTGCCTGTCTACAACTTTAGTTTACTTCCGCTGCATCTTTATTGGCGCTTATCTTGTCATTTTTATGTCCGACATTTTTGCATTACTTCAATATAGTACTTATTGTCTAACTATCATTACTTGTCAGTTTCATAAACACTATTATCATTACAATTTACCTCTGTGTGCGTGTGTTTGAATTTTTCAGTTAAAACTATTTGTTTTCATCGTTAATTTGTAAATATGTTTATGAAAACGCCATTTCAAGTTTTAAACCGGGCTGGCAAAGGGTATAAAGATAGTTGAGAAGTTTTTCTTTATCTCTTGACTTGAATTTGGAAAAGTTTTTATGAATGCACTTTGAAAGCTAAAGAGAGAATTGCTTTATTGAGATAGTGTACGAAAAACTGCAACGAGATAAACAAGAGACAAATATAGAGTCTCCTTAAGTATTTTTTTTTATACGAAAAGCTTCTTACAAATGACAAATTGATAGTCTCGGGAAGGTTGAATAAAATGAGATTGATAGAATGGCAAGTTTTTTCAGTTAAACTTAAATTATTTGATTTGAAAGGAATTCTCCATATAGCCGTAATCTACTTTTTGTGATTAAATCTCCGAACAGGTAATTTCAGTCTGAACCCTGTTATTATATTATATAGATCTATGATAATAATACCAAAGTTTAATTCATAAAATTATTGAAAGAATCTTATTATTATTGTATTTTATATGTTATTATGAGTCGAGTCCCAGTATCGAGTTACCTAAAGCTTGGCTCACCTTGGAAAAACTAAACACATCTCGGATATCAAAAAACCGATATATAAAAATAAGTTTAAGATGAAGTTTTGTATTTATAACTTCCAGCCGTTTATGCTAAAGGCAAGGAATTAAGATCATCGAAGTCCAGAACTGCAGAGCTTCACTTTATAATTATTATTATGATTTTTGCAATGATAAGAACACACAGTCTTAGCTGACTGTAAGCTCACGTCAACTTGCTCAGTTCTGACAACTTACCACCGATGAATTTGACTAGACTGTAAAATCAATCACAAAATATCGCAGGAAGCAACTAATAGACTTTTCTGCTCAAAGACAGTCTCTATACAAAGGTATCAATTAGATTATTTTAATTTATGACGTAAGAAATTATTATGAGAATTTTCTGAACCTTTATCAACTACAAAACTTACCGAGATATGGTTTTTGAAGATAGAAATGTTTTCCGAATCAAATTCTACTATCAAGTTCAGTCAATTCTAAACTACACGGTACGGTAAATACTCGACCCATTAACACGAAAAAGGCGTCTACGTAACCCGAACGAACCCGTATTTTTACGGTCAGCTTGTCAGCATTCCAAAAAATAGTTTTGGGAAAGTTTTCTACCACTATATTTACCAACAACAAAAACATGTGTTTACCAACAACAAAAACATAGAAGGTAATTCCAACAGTTCTAGTAATTTTAATAAAAAATGTTGAATATCTTTATGTGAATAACTTTATCAAAAAAACGTCCAAACCAAGATCCATAAAAGTAATCTTGGATTATTTTCAGAAGGATTCCGAACATTTATAGTCGAAAATCGTAGTTCAGCGATATCTATGAAAGATAGTTCGATTATTTTATTATTCAGCTTCCCTTAGTATATAAGAAAGCCAATAAGAAATTAATTTTTCGATTTTTTTATACTCTGGAAAGGGTATATTAAGTTTGCCACGAAGTTTGTAACGGCCATAAAAAAACGTCGTAGACCAACGAAATATATATACCTATATATCTATATATACACAAGTATAATCAGAGTGACAAGTCTAGTCGATTTAGTCATATCCGTCTGTCTGTCTCAGTTTTTGAGATATCTCCCCAAGAAGGTGCTCATTTGTTGGCACCGTGGATATTGGACCAACATAGCATATAGATGTCTTACAACGTGATTGATCAAAATCAAGTCCTTGTATAGAAAACCTTTTTATATTATGATACACGACAACAGTACGATCTCTGAGGAAATTATTTATCGCCGGCATCTATAACATTTAGAAACCATACAAACAGACCACACAATATCAAGATAAAGATCTTTTCATACCCTTTTCTACCTTCATTATATAAAAAAATACACCTGAGAAGAGAATTATAGATTCAGCGCAGTCAAATTTTATATTTTCTCCTGTTTTACTAGAATGAAGACTCGCTGGTATTTACAACAAGTATTTTCCTAAAAGCAATTAGCTCCCTGTACATATTACTTAAAACTTGAACAAATCCCTTTCATCGCTCATTAAATTCAACTAAACATATTTTAGACATATTATTTTACATGTAAACGTCTTAAAATAACTACTCACCCCCTTGCATGGTCGCTCGTCGGAGAGTAAACGTACAGCACCACGTCCCAAAGCTTCACGTTTCCGTTGTGCCGAAAATATGCGCAGCTCCTTGCGCTCCTCATCGCTCAGCGAGTGGCAGTAGCGCACCTATAAGAAAGAAAAAGAAAAAGCAATGAGAGCGAGGGACACACAAGTAAGTGTGGGTATCAGAAAATTGTAGTAAATTTTAATTAAAAATACACTTGCACGTCCTCAACTGACGCGACAATGACGTTCAAGTTGAAGTTGAAGACAAAGTCGAAGGCGAATGCGAAGTCACAAGTCGCAGCCGAAGCAAGAAGTACAATGTCAAAGTTTTTTAATCTTGCAAGTACAAGTGAAAAGGAAAAACTTTTGAAAGGTTTCATTTTCACATTTGCACAATGCGTTTTAACTACTGCCGTGTTTTTTAAATAGTTTTTTCCTACACCTCTCTCCCTCGTTTTCTTCTTATTGTCTGCGATTTCTGATTGCCATTGTTGGAGGCCGCTGCAGCCATTTTCAGTTACTTTTTGGTGTTTTTTTTTTACATTTACTTCGAAGCCAATTTGTTCCTTTTCTTCATTTCTGATGTCTTTACGGTCGTCTGATTGTCTATTTTTCTGTTAGTGTGGGAGTTACTTTGGAGTACATGGTGTAGTACTTACCTCATTGTCTTGCGGCGGCAATTGATGCAGTAACTGCTTGACGCGATACTTTTCGCCAGCACTGTTTACGTAGGGTACCTTATCGTCGGGAAGTTGTGAGAAGTAGAAACGAACCTAGAATAAGAAATACAAATTATTTGGATTATTTTTTGATAAAGTGTTCAGATTTTGCAAAATAACACAAGTTTTCAAAACTTATATATTATTTATTTAGTGATTAAAATCACGAAAATTGCCGGTATTTCAACGGTTTTATGTGCACCTATTTATTGCCGAAGCTCACCATGTGTTTTTTTTATTAAAATCTCAAGAGTCCATCCAAGCTGACTTATTTTATTGATATACCGAAACTGATCAGGAAACACGAATTTTTATTCTGCGATAATTAATAAAGAATATATTCTAAATATTATCGAAATGAAAAACTAATTGGTTCAGTTCAAAACCTCTCCCATGAAGAATAAAACAAGCTCTCTCATGCATAGTAAAGGCCTGGCTCGACTAGGAAATATACTTAGTAATTTCTACCTCTGCAAAAAAGCAAACTAACGTCTTTAGTATATTTACTCTAAAGCAACTTACCCCTAAGATCCTTCCTCCAAAGGCTAGTGAATACAGAATGGGAAGAATTATGATCAAGAAACATGGGAGTCTAGGGTCTAGTGATCATCGAAAATTTACTAAGTGCTGATGATTTAAATGGGTCCGTTTGGAGTCAGATGCTTCAACAATCTATTAAGCTTTGAAATTTTTTAATAACGTGGAATTAGTATATGATAACGGGAAGGCAAACGACTTTACAACCCGAAATAAATTTAATTCGCATTCGATTTTCAAAACTCTCTTCACTCAATGAAATAAAAAAATGAAGAAGTAGTATACGAGGTGTGTTCAAAAAAACACGGGAGTTTTAAACTTAAAATTTCGCAGGTTTAGAAAGTCCATTTATCAAAAAAATTTGTATTATGTTGATATACATGCCTCTGAAGTGCGATACAATTTTTAGCTTTTTCGTTGCTTGGTCGTTCTTTCTTAGCCAAAAACAAAACTCTAACGCTGCCCCAGCATCCATATTCGCCAGACATGACTTCATGGGAATTTTTCCTATTTCCAAAAATAAAGAGAACCTTAAAGGGTCGTAGTTTTACAATCATAGATGACATTCAAAGGCATCACTGAAAGAGCTAAAGTTTATGCCAAAAAGTTTGAGAAGTATTGAGTTTGAGAAGTATTTCGACGATTGGCAAAAGCGCTGACATAACAGCGTAATACCGAATAAGACTATTTTTTAGATGACAACAATAATGTAGACAGCTGAATAAATATTTTTTTCAAAAAACGAAAATTCCGATTATTTTTTTAACATTCACTTACCTACTACAAATATTAAGATATTGAACGGTTGTCATTTAGCAAAGTAATTCGGTGGATTAGAAATCTGAAATTTTGCGAATATTTTTTTTTAATATTGGAAAATATATTTCTGAAACTCTAGAGAAACTTGCGATTAAAAAATGTATGCTTGACGAGTAAGCAGAATTTATTAATATGGATAATTTAAATCTATGTATACATGTAGTAAATGAAAAAACTATCTGGCTGTGATTGTATTTATTATGAAACGACAAGTGAGATAGGTTCAGTGTTTTACTTCATTTTTGATCTCGAAAATTCTTAAAAGATCTCTCGAATACAATACGAATACGAATCACAAAAATATTGTAGAGTAGAGGCTTTAGAAGAGCCAGTTGCCAGCTGAGCGCATACAAAAGTCACCTAACAATCTTCTATGAACTTTTTTAAGCAGAAGATTTGGAATTCCGTAAGCTTTTACATTCTCGAAACTTACATATTCGCTTGGGGGAACACGCTGTTAGCTGATAGGCAGCCGAAGTCTGTGGCAAACGTATTGCAAATTGTAGGTTAGGCTTATAATGCCTTAAGAGAAGTATATTTTTATGAAATTAATATTAATTTGTATAAAACAAATTAAAATTTTATTATTTTATTTAATAGTCCAAGTCAAATTTGAAATGGATAGTCTGAGGAAAAAATTATTCCTTTATGACACAATTTTTCATATTTATCCAGTTCATTTACGAAGGCATTTTATCTGTCATTTATCACACAGGAACTTATCTACCAAGTTTAATATGGAAACTCTTCAACACAGTAAACCTTTTTGCTTTGCTTTGCTTTCTCCCGCCGGAAATACGGCATTAAATACCAAAATATTGTTTAACCCCCTTATACATTTACCACAATTAATCTAATCAACTACAAAGCATGGTAATATTTATAGCATGACATTTTTCACTTTAACCAACACCGTAAAATGAAAACTTCCTCAATTTGTAACGAATCATTTCCTACTCGTTCGCACTCACGCGCCGCCTGTTGAAAGGTGGCAACGGCAGTTGAGAAACAACAACATTTAAACAACAGCAAAATTAATCAAATTGTTCACGCAGCAGTCACAACACTTTCACTCGGCCAACTAAGCCAATTCACCGCTGCCACCGCTGGTGCGTCTGTGCAATCAACTCTTGTTTTGGTCAATTTCCACCGAAAACTCAATTGGCTAACAACATCAATACATTTTACAGCTATCTATTTGGTTCAAAGTGTCAGCGCACCACATGCCTGCCACGCGCATACCAACAACAACGTCCGAGACACCGCTGCACGTCGCCGCTGCGTGTTGCACCCCAGGCGCCCGTTAGCTTTTCATATGTCATCTATCTTTCTCCACCCAGGCCAGTCCCGACGAGCAACATGCGAGACTCTTATCTGCCCAAGCATCCAGTGTGTGCGTGTGTAAGTCAACGCTGCCACAAAGCATTTTCGAGAGCGTGGAAAAATTTTTAGCTTTGCAATGGCGAGCCCCTCATCACCTTGGTTTGAAAAAGTAGTTAGTTGTGCGCAAGTTAGAAGTCAAATGTACAACAAAATAAAAGCAATAACATACCAAAAATGTTATTAATTGCTTCGTTGTCCGCAGTCGGAAAATGTCGCTCAAATCACGCTCCGAATGAAATTAAATGGAGTGGACAACGTCAATCGCTCGCTTGCTCCGCTCAACTGCATTTGGCTACATAGTTGTGTGTGTGTCTGTCTGCAGTTGAGTGTTTTGCGCGCGATATTTCCGTCATTGCTTGAAAACAGGTGCGGAGTTACGCGTAAGCGCGTTAAAATCGTAAATGTCATGCTGAGTAATGGTTTTACTAGCTCAAAATGATTACTGGAATTTTATTTCAAATACATATGTATATATTATAGTAATGTAATTGTTAAAACTCGACATAGTAATTATAATGAGACTCTCTTGGAAACTTCTGTAGATATTTGACCGAGCTTCTTCCCTTATTTGCGATTTGTCTATGGAATGCAAGGAAGACAGGAGTCATCCACTGTTTACAGACACTGAAAGTACTCGGCTATATTTGGATATAGAAAAATGTATGAGTTTCGTCTCGCTATTTCCTTTTTTGATCGTTGTTAAACTGAATAAAGTAAGAATAAATTAGATGTTCTGATGAAAAGTTCTTCCCAATGTTTGAGCTTACTTTTCTAGAAAATTTCAGCCGAGTCGGGGTCGTAGAAAATTCGATTATTGGGAAATCGTGCAACTAAATCAAAGAGTGCTGGAGGAGGATGTTGTGTTCGACTACGACAGTCAAAAATAAATTTAACGAGTTTCAACGTGGTCCAGCGCACCACCCGACAAACCTGCTTCAACGTAGGCGAAGCTTAACCCATCAGCCGAAAGCTGACGGTCAACGTTTTCTAGACCTCCTAAGGTGGTATTTACATCAGGGGTGACCAAAAGTTTTAAGATAAATAAAAATTGCATAAACAAGGTTATTGGAATGAAGAAATCACTTTGACTCAAAGCTACATTTTTACTGAACTACGGCTAAGTGTGACCCAGTGTCAGACAGCTATGTTTCGAGAGAGACACCGTGAGTTAGACGACACCAGTGCAAGTAAATTTGTTTGCTGTAATTATTTTGTTTATTGTTTGTTGTAAGTGATGTAAACTACAGCGTAAGCTTCCCTGATGAACATCGACTACCTAGAGGAGGGCAAGGTGATCAAACTCTACTATGCCGAATTATTGGACCAATTTATTTGGTGAAAAACGTGATTTATTTTATTTTTTAATATTCTGGTGTGAATGTAAATGCAATCAACGTTGAGAAGAGTAACTTTATATTCTATGAACCTTGCTACCAATTCCTATTGACCATATTTGAATCGAAATTAAGTCTTAAACGATTTCATTAAACCAATATATTATATTAATATTAAACCTATCCAGGTTGCCAACTTAATATCAATATATCGAAAAAATTTTGTCCTTCCATGTATTTGTACGCAGAATAGGGTATATTAAGTTGGATACGAAGTTTGTAACGCACAAAAGGAAACTTCTGAGACCGTATAAAGTATAAGGCCATTTTCAACATGCCGGGCTTAAACGATTTAGCCATATCAGTATGTCTGTCCGTCTGTCTGTCTATATACATGCGAACTATGCTACCATATAAATTGACCGTTCAAAATCAAGATAAAAATCTTTTTATTCTCTTGCTGTAAGAAAAGCACCTGTGAGGGGTATTATAGCTACTGTGCAGCAGGAGTTTTACTATCAAATTGTAGCTGAAATATAATTGTTTGATTAATACAAGTAAACCAAACCGAACTCAACCAAATTATTAATGTATTTAATAAATGTATTCCTCAAATTCATTAAACTTCATAAGTGATTTATAACAGATAGCAATTAAATTACCAGTTAAATGCTTTTAATAGAGAAGCAATTAGTTGCTTAGTAAAGAAATTGAATTAAGCAATCAAATTGATAAATGAGTCCAAAATTTTTCCACACATCATTCGCGATTCAATTTGTTTAGCCGTAAGAAGTAAGTAATTATCTCCAAGATAGCTAAATTCCAGCAATAAACTTATTTGGCGATTAACCAATACATACAAATATTTATATGGGAATATATACAACTCAATACTAATTACATTAATCAACTCCAAATAACTTTAATTTCAAATGAAAAGCAATTATTTAGCGGGTTTGGCTGAAAAGGAAAAAAATGCGACAGAGATGTTATGCCAGCAATGCAAGGCATCAATTTGAGATTACGAAAACGCCGACAACGAATATGAGATTAACAAAATCGCACAATTAATTACCGGCAATTTCGATCAAAAATCTGCGATTGCAATCTTGGAAATGCCGCACAATTACGAAGCAAAACGTTCGAAAATCTGCTTAAAAGCGCGCAATGTTTGTTATACATTTGTTAGTATGTAAGCTATGCTGACATAAAAGCATAGAAATTATATTTACTAAGGTATTGCTGAATTGCAACAAAAACCGTTGCCGCAACATTTTACGGCCACTTTTGTTGTGGCGTCTAACGAACATGAATTGTTACACGTTGCCCAAAAATATTTAAGCTTGCAACACCCGACAAAATATTACATGTGTGTCTGCAACAACACTAAGTATGCATCTGGCAGTTGCAACTTGCAACTATTTAATGGCTAAAGTAAGAGTAATGTGCACATGCAGCCAAGAGGCGGAGAAGATAAAACTCTGCGGCGCGAGTGTTGTTGCAAAATTTTATGAAAATCAGCGAAACGAAAGCAAAAGTGGTAAAAATTTTTACTATAATTTTTTATGTTAAAAAAACAAAAAACCAAAAACAAGAGAAAACGAAAAAATTGCTGTTACATCAGCATTAAGCGACTATGTGGCATGCCGCATGGCGAACACAAAGCGTGTGTGCCATTTTGTTGCAATCGAAGCGAGACAATAAAAAAGTGAAAACGCGCCACGTTCGATACAATGCTACCTACACAAAAAAATTAAATTAAAAAAATTTAAAATGAAAATTTGAAAAGTTGCTGCGGAAAGAGTTCATAAAAGTCAATTGCAATTGTTGTTGGCGTCATTGCTTTATCAAGATTTTATGTCCTTATCCGTTGGCTCTCACCGTTTGACCGAATGATGGTGTTTACATGACTCGCATACGAAATATTGGTCAGTAGACATGCAGTAGTCTGTATATATGCTTCCATTCGAGGTTCAACATACCTTCCAATGTGACAAAACTAGAGACATTTTTAAGATTTTTGATTAATGAGTTTCAAATAGAAGAGACAAATTTCTCTCTCCTATTAATCTGACATGTTAGCTCAAAGTAATTTTGATTTGTACTGCTCTCGAGTAGTGCGCTTTTTTACATTTTAAAAATCAACGCAGTTGAGTAGAAAATATCTCTATAAAATCTATGTGGTTTGTTTGGTTCAAGAGCTGTTTAGGGTTCATGTCTTAAGATAGAATTACTGTCGGAAGCGACCTATGTGATGAACCGCAATTCATCACTTTGCGAAGTCACTTGCCATTCGCTATGAATCTACTTTAATCAGATAAGGTCTACAGAGTCGAAGTACCTTTATCTGATATTCCTTCGAGATTACCACTATATGTGTTAAGTGAAGCTATTTTAATGCCTATTCCACAAAAGCTCAATGATCCATCATTGTGACTGTGAATTAGTAAAGGCTGTATATTTATTCAAACCTGATTCAAATCTGCATGGTTATATAACAGTTTTATAAAGTGGTCCCCGAATTTGCGTGGACTCCCGCCAAAATTGTTCCTAATACGTATTGGATCTTCACCGCTTCGGATTTTCTTTGTTCTTGTTATCACTACTATAGTCCTATGGCTGAGAACCCTCACAAAGATTTTGAGTTATGTAATCGGATAGTATAAGGTAATATCATGTCAAAGTTACACCGAGTAATTGTCTCCCTATCTTCTTTCTTTTGGCGATGTATTAAGATTTTGACTTCATTAACCGGGTTCAGAAAGCCACTCGCGCTGTATTCAATAGTTTTAGTATTACGCTTTCTGACAGAGCTTTTCCAGCCTTACAATATATCATTTATTGGTAAAAGAAAGAATAAACGCAACAATAGGATTTGGATCCTCCAATAATAGCCTAAAAGCATTATCCAAACAAGCAAGAAAGTACTTTTGAAGGGGCTTCTAAGGAACGCTTGAGTGTCCAAGTAGATTACTATCAAAGCTGTGACTTTATTTATTCCTAATGAGAGCTCTTCATATTAATTTTTTTTAATATATATATGTAATATTTCCAACATATATGTGAAAACAGAATTACTCACCTGATCCGGTCGCAGCCCCGGCGGCACCCACGTGTACTCTTCCAGCGCACAACCGCTATCATCGTCTGACTGGGAGTTTCGCTGAAATTCCAGTTGCTGCTGATGATGCTGGTGTTGGTGGTACGCGGCCGTCTTGTAGTTGGCAGTACGCAGCGGTGATGAAATCGAACTGAGTGGCAATGAAGGTGGCGGCGCTTGGCAGCGTCGCTGTAGTGGCGCTACAAAATGTTGCGGCGTCGTGCTGTTGCTGCTGCCACCACCGTTGCTTGTGCTGCTCGATGATGCCTCCAAATTGCTGACAGTGGTCGGTGTGGGTGTGGCGGCTGTGGAAGAGATGGGCGTGACACGATCCAAATTATTGAGTGCCGTTATTGGTATTACAGCTGGCTGCTGTGTTGGAGATGAGGCTACATTTTGTGTTTGTGAAGTTGCTGTTTCTGCTTGCAGTTGCTCGTATTCGGGTAAGTGTCCACCGGTTGCTTCCAGCTGCAACAATTCACTTTCGGTTTGTGTGTAATAATTGGTCGGCTGTTGCATGGTGACTTCGAGTAGCAATTGCTGATGGGCTAACGAGGTGTAGCAAGATTGCTGGAGTGGTTGCGGTTCCCACGTGTTAAGTGTACTGTAACAAAAGCGAGTGGAAAGACTGTGTTAAAATAAGTTAGGTCAAATGAGTGTATTTAATGTCATTTGAGACACATTTGGTTTTGAAATATTATCTATTTGCTAGAAAAGTATTAAAACCTTTGATATCTATACGATCCAATTCTTCCAATACGTTTAAGGAGTTATTGCATTGCATATTGAAAGTGTTATATATTTTAGTGTTCTATGCTCTCAGAACCGAATTCGTCTGTTATGGTGAATTATGCATCTGTAAGACATATCAATACACTATTGATACATATATTCTGTTAGTCGTGTATAGTATTAAGAAGTACGAACTACTGCTACGCAAGACCTTGATTCGATTTCTGTTCAGAATAATATGATCTAAAATCATGAATTTGATACAGAAAATACTTCTGGGAACTTCTTTTAGCTGTTTCTAGTCAGCTTGGGTCTTCTCGGATTCATAATTTGTTGGACAACATCTAGATTGCAACTAAGATAATAATTTGAAGTACTTACTCGCGCCCTCCCTGACGATACATATAACGTTTTATACTTACTAAGCATAGAATTTAGCTTTTGATTACTTATAACAGTATTTCCCAGAAACTTGTAATTTTTCTACAACTTTTAAATTGGATGAGGACTTAAACTTCGTCGGGAGATTTAATACATTAATGTCAAAGGAACGAACACTAAAAACAAATTTTATTACTCAATATCTCCAAAAAATTTTGTGAAAGATACTAAATCATGGTTATACTATATAATTCCAACCAAAATAATGCACGCTGTCTTTTTGATCCATATTTAAAGAGATCGGGGCACCACAATGGGCCAGCGTTTCTAGTTGAGCCAGGAAAATGTTCGTAGCTGCACGAATATCAGTCTGATTACCTCACCTTTTTTTATCAATTAATGCCATTATAATTATTTATTTTTTTTATGCAGTACTTTTTTTCTTTGATATTAGTTCTAGTTTTTTTAGTTAATTGAATAAATGAGGAGTTAATATAGCTTCAAATACGTTTACTATACGTAGATTATTCAGAAATGTTTATCATTGAAACTATAGGTTTATGGTGACTGAAATGAGTAACATAAGTTTGAGACTTGATATCCTCTAAATATCTGGAAAATTTCGCGTCAATGGTGGTCCCATATTTTACTGTAGATTCTTGTGGATCATTATTCCATTTTCAAATTCAATTTTTCCGAAAGAAAAGTTGTCAACCGTTCTGAATTTTATCAGCGAAGTTGATGTTGAAATCGCCTGCCAATATAAGTGGAAATTTACTACCATTGCTAAAATATCTAATTTTAATTGTATTGTTCAAGTCAAACCAGATACTGTTCCAGAAGGTGAAAGATACTATTTACCAAAAAAATAATAATCTTACTAACAATATGACTCAGAATATTAAATAATTTATTTGTTATTAATTACATTTTTAAATAACTCTATATTTTAATTTGTCATTAAAAAAAATGGTTCTTAAATATTATTATTTTTGAATCACCCTGTTCTTCAATTTATTTCCGCTTGAGATATTCGAAAACACGCCTAAAATTAAAAAACATTTTGCGCATATTTTGTGACCATGTTAGGTTTATTTCCGTTACGGAATTTCTTGATTCAGTCCCCGCGCTCAAAGCCCGCGATAGAAGCTATGCAATAGCTTAAAAGTGATCTCGCCTTATTTAAGGTAAAATATTTTGAACACTAAATATTCTGTGCGAATGGCGAATATTTTCATCTTCGTGACAGCACTTATGAAAATACTAATCGGCAAGGCAAAAAAATTCATCAGAAAATTTTAGAAATTCCAATACTTGAAACGACTGTCATCATAATACTGTCTAGCACTTGGCTGGGTATTGGACCAAACCAGTTTTTCGAGAGATTGAATCATCATTCACAAATACAAAAGATTCCTTACAAGACTTTGTATCGCAGCTATATGCTATAAGATACTCTCAGAATAAATTGTTTTGCTCGGACCATTATACATATAGCTGCCATATAAGCTGTCCGATCAAAATAAAGTTATTGTAAGGAATGTTTTGTACTTGTGAAGGGTGTTATAGCTTCGGTGCAACCGAACTTAACGTTTTGTCTATTTTTGTTGATCCGTTTATTTTCACAATTTGCGGTAATATATTTTACTACTAGCACACTGAGTAACATTAGTATTTCTTCTAAAGAAATAATAAATTGTTATGGAATTCCATTGGCATCTACTAAACGTGGCTGCCAATTTTTCTGAACAACAAACTCATTTGCTGTGTTCATGTAGAAAAGTCTGCGAAATGCAATTTGTGCAAATGCCTAACGCGCATACTTTCGACTTTCAATCGCAGCGAAATTAGAATTTTCCACATTTGCCTGGAAAGTAATGCAAAGCATTAATATTTGTTACGACTTTCTGTTGTTTTTTTTTTTTGTAATTTTTCGCACCACAATATCCTTTTTTAGCCATAAGCAGAAACTAGTAAATGCATTAGTGGCACGAACTGGCGTCCAAATGTTGCATGCAAGAAGCAACACAGCTGCACATACAAACAAACAAACAACGCTGAGCATATTCATACTTGTTGAGAATGCTGTTTTCTTATTTATTTGATAGCGTTTTGATTATGAGGCTGAAATGAACGCAATCACACATACATACATAAATAAATCCATACATGTATATGGGTATGTAAATGCAGCTGAGCATAAAACGCAGCTGGGGCATATGTAAGCAACACCTTGCGTACACATGATGCTTCTGACTTTTTATGCTGCGCTTGCGTGCCTTTGGTCAATTTGTATTTGGTCAGCGACGCGCCGCAAAACATGCGCAATTGCGCAGTGAAGCAACTGGCACTGTTGCGCGAATGAATATTGCAACAATGACTAGAACTGGTCAAGTCGTCTTTGGTTGCTAACAAAGTTGTTGTTGTTAATCTTATTGCTGCTGCTGGTGTTAGACTAAACTTTTGTTGTTGTTATCCGTGGATTTTTTGTTGTTGTTGTTATTGCTGTTTCGGTTATTTGCTGTTGTTATTGTTGTTCTTTTTCGCAAACCAATTTGATTCTGCATATATGGTTCTGCGCATACGCCTTGGGAACTTTCTCTCTATGGTATGTTGCAGATACTTTATTATGCTTTTTATTATTGTTGTTGCTTTTGCTTTTATTTATGCGCAATTTTTATTCGTTCTGCAACATAGCTCATTTAAAAATAAATTTGTAATTACTATCTCGGTGTTTTATGATTATTTACTTACGCTTCGCTAACTTGAGCAAGTTGCCGGACTCGTTGATTTGATGAATGGGCGTTATGAAAAGCAAATTAGATACGCATATAAGAAGAAGCATTTTATATCTTTGCAGATTAATAGTGAAAACAAATATAAATCAATTAAAAGCTTTCTACACAGCGCCTTTTTAGGCCATCAAATCAGAATCGCCAAGCCTCCCTTTCACTTTTCGCAGTACGCCTTCGGCTACCGAATGTAAAAGTTACTTTTTCATGTGTGTGTGTGTAACAACGTACATGCTTAGTTTGGCGCGTAATTATTAGCCGCATAAAATTAATCACTTAATAAGAGGTAAATATTTGAACAGCTTAATGAGGCTTGGCGGCTATTAAAAATACTTTTTATATCGAAGATAAGTTTTCGAATTCGAATTTCGACAGTGTAAGCTAAGAATCATAAAGTTGCAGTATCATTGACGATTTTCCCATACATATTACTGCAACAACACACAATTTAATGTGCACTATTGCTCATAAATTCTCTTATACTACATACCTTTATGTACATATTGTATATAATATTATATGTATGTATATACACTCCTATACTCAAATAACTGTCACAGCCACACATAATAAATTGTACTTGTTATTCAAATTAGCCAATCGCATTAAATTTTGCCAGTCAAATATTTCCTTTTATGCATATAAATTTCAGTCAAGCACAAGCCACTCTACGCATGCGCGCGCAGCTCATTATTTTCGCTATCTAATCGCTTTGCCGAATTATTGGTGAACATATCATTTCTACTTCCAAACGCTGGTCATTAATTCATTTGCGTTTTTCTCTTCATCATTTTCATAATTTCATGCCAATCATCAATTCTCCGCTGTTCGCTTTAAAACATCAAATCTCCAATTAGATTTGGCTATCTTTCGCTTTCGAAAATGTATGACATTTGGAAATGATATGCATCAACAGCGTACATACATATTTACTTATACTTACATATCTGCATGCATATCCATAACCGATTATGGTAATTGTTTGAAATGTTTGGGCGTAAAATCATATTTTCGTTGCATTTGGAAAGTGATTTCCACGTATGAATGCGTTGTGGATTTTTATGAGATATCTGCTTTGAAAATTTCTTTGAAACACTCAAGGCTTAGTCTACACAAATATTGAATGAAACGCAGCTGCGAAATTTTAATAAACTTGCAGGACATCTTATCTTCAGCTCGGAGTCTTATATTGGTAAATTTATGGTCACTATTTAAGAAAATTTTTGAAAGTAAATTGAGAAATGGAACTAATTTTCTTTTGCTAAGTAGCGAACATAGCCTCAAGAATTACAGAATTTGTGATTAGCCGCTTTCGATTCGCCAGTTCTGTGCTCGCTTTCTTTGAGCGCTTTTAAAACAACAATAAAGTTAGTGAGTCGTATAACCGCTATCTTCAATTTGGTTTTTCAGAGCTACCAAGTTTTATTTTGTAGAGTTTAAACTCTCTTGCATTTGGTCACATGATAAATTACTATCAAAACTAAAAGTACAAAGGTTTTTTTGTAATTTTTATTGGTTTTAAGAAATAAATAATTATCCAAAACGTAGGGCGCTATTTGAAATCAAGAGGTTCCAAAATGTTGCTTGGTGTGGAAAGAAACATTTCTTCACCAAAGAAAGAAGTGCAAAACAATTGATCATAGGTCAGAGGATCCGTTAGCCGCAAGTGCTGGCAATGTATTTGAGCTATAGTAACTGC